CAAACACTGCCCTTCTGTTCCCCCATGATTGATGGCTCCAAGGAGTGCATCTACCTGGTGTAAATGTTCACCCCATGTGCCTGTCTGCTGTCTGGCTGGAAGCCACAGGAGTGAGTTCAGTTCCCGACCTGAAGGGTGACTAGGGGCCAGTCTCGGGGTCCTTCACCACATTCTATCACACCAGTAAGCCTGGTCTTTTTTTTTTTTTTTTTAATAATTTTGAGTGGGCTTTCTCGACTTTATGTCTGTCTCTGGGTCCCCCACTAAAAAGTGAGCCTGCCCCGCATGGCAGGCTGCCACCTCAGGTGCTGCCAGGGTGAAGCAGCGGTGAGGGGCAGGGGCAGGAGGGCTGGGGAGAGCCCGGCAGCAAGGGGGGGGGCAGGTGCTGGCAGGAGCAGCGGGGGCAGGGGCAGATGGGTAGACCAAGCAGGGAAGGAATGAAGGAACAAATGCAGAAGCCGGGAGCAAGCCTGCAGGGTGGGGAGGCTCTGAGCAGGGGGCTGAGTGAGGCCGGCATCCAGCCACACTCCCCCAAGTTGGGGACTGTCCTCATCGGTGACAAAGACCTTCTGGTCTCGACAGTGGCCTGCAAGCCAGAGATTCCGGGAAGCAGACTCGGCCACAGTGGGGGTGGGGGTGGGGTGGCAACAAAGCCTCCCTCGGGCTGGGTTTCCTGGAAAAGCGGTAGGAAACGCCAGCTGCACACCGCCCCCCAACATCACAGTCGTTCAGTCTGCCGCTGGCCAAGGGCCCAGCACCAGCCCCAGGAGGGGGTGTGGGGGACATCGAACCACAGGGGCGGGTGTTCGAGGTCAGAGCAACCAAGGACAAAGGCAGGGGTGGGGTGGAGCCCTCCCAGCCCCAGACACTGTCCCTGAGCAACATCGTGTCCACCCCAGACAGGTCAGTACTCCGGGCCCCCCTCACCCATGTCCCTGGGAGAGGACTCCCACCTTGGGGGACTGGCACTCCCAGCATCCACCATGGGGGGTGAGGCACTGGCCCCCATTTCCCACCTATGTAAAGCTGGGCCCCAGAACTCCCCAGTTTGGAGGGGACTCTCCCTGTGCCCACACTTCTTGCCCAAAACCAGATCCCTGTCTGCCCCAAGGGCAGGCTCGCCGACGGCTGGAAGGTGCACTCTGGGCTGCATCCCAAACCCATCAGCTCTGTCCCAGCACAAAGCCCTTTCCTGTCACCGCCCAGGGCCACACAGCTCCCACCCCCGTCACTCACCGTCCGATGTCCGAGCAGACTCTGGAGTCTGCGGCTACGGCTGCGTGGGCAAAGCCGTGGGAGCCGCAGGGGGCGTGGTGGCGGGACAGGACCACCGCTGGCACAATGATGGCCAGGGCCAGTGCCAGCCCCAGCAGCACCAGGCTGACGGTGGCCCGGCGGCCCCGTGTCATGGCTGGACACGCAGGTGGACCACAAGAGCGGCAGGTGGGGTCACAGGCGATCGGGCAGACGGACAGAGATGAGAGCAGACAGACAAGCAGATGAAAGCCAGACAGCCGGACAAGCACGTGAAGGCTGGCCAGCCAGCCAGCTAGTGCAGGCTTGCAGATGAGCCAGGTGGCAGATGGGATAGGTCAGTGGACAGCGGTGGTGGTGGCAGGGCCGCTACGTCCTCCCAGCACGCGCACTAACTCCCCACGAGAGGCGAGCTGCTGGCCGCGCACCCAAACTTCCAGTTTTCAGCCCCTTGCCGCCCTGGCGGGAAGGGGGGCCAGCAGCCGGCCTCTGTGGGGTTTTCCTTCCAGAGAACAGCACAGCCTGCCGCCACTGTTAACTCTCTCACTGCCAAGCTAGCAGCCAGCCTGGCCTGTCAGGGTCTGCTGCTTCTGCCCACACTGCCCAGGATGACCTCATGGGCTTAAGGGCTCTCCATAACCAAACCCAGTCCCCACAGAAGACAGGAAGCTGGACTCAGGGCTCAGGCTGAGGATTCCTGGGAAAACACTCAGACAGGGCGGGCACTTGTGCCATCAGCCTGGGCAGAGCCAGAGGGTGGTGGGGTCTGGGCCAGAGGGGCGAGACTGCAGGGGCCAGGAAGCAGCGGGCCGTGCCACTAAAGACCTGGTTCAAGTCCCGGCCTGGCTCCAGCAGCCGGGGGATCCCGGGGGCCTGAAGGCAGACTGACAAGGAGTGCACCCCAGGTGCTGGGGTGACCCCCTGAGCATCAGCCTGGGGCTTGTCCTGGGTCCTCACCCCTGCCTGCAGCTCTGCCCTCCGTCCCCCCTGCTCTGGGCTAGTCCTGCTGCCCCAGTGTCTTCTCCCCTGGGAGGCCCAGGCCTGCGTGCCCACCTGGGAGGGAGCCAGGGAGTCAGGCCTGTGACATGCCCCATGCTGGGTGGTCACCCACAGGCCTTCCAAGAGGAGCCCTCAGATCCCGGGCTTCCCATCAGGTGCAGCAGAAAGCCAGACACTGGGAGTGGCAGGCCTTCCCCGAGGTCTGCTCCTGTGCCCCTCACCCCACCCACCCCTTCCCCAGCCAGCCTCGCCTCAGTGGTATTGCTCAACCAGGAATCAAGGGGGCCTTCTGGGCTGGCTCCAGTCTACCCACCCACCACCGAGCCCAGTGGCTGGGGACACAGGGGCAGGGGCCCCTGACCAAAGACCCAAGGAGAGGGATGGGCATCACATGGGGGCCGGACAGACACAGAGGGCCAGGAGGTCCAGTTTGGGAAAGGACCCGAGTGTCCTGGACCCGTGGCAGGCAGGACAGGTGAAGTCAAGAAGGCTCGCAGGGGCCCCCACCAGCAGGCCAGCCCCCACCCTCCTCACCACACAGTAAGGCACCCAGGCATCAGTCTTCTCCCTTCAAAGGGATCTTCCTCTGGGAAGAAGCCCTGGTGGCACAGTGGTTAAAGCATCTGGCTGGTAACCAAAACGTCTGCAGTTCAAACCCACCGGCCGCCCTGCAGGAGACAGATGGGGCAGTCTGCTTCTGTGAAGATCGCTGCCTTGGAGACCCTATTGTGGTTGTTAGTGCCACTGAGTCACTTCAGACACACGCTGCCAAGTCCTGCATCATCCTCACAGCCGTTGCCATGGTTAAGCCCATCGTTGCAGCCCGTGTCCGTCCACCTCATTGAGTGCCTTCCCCTTTCTCACTGACCCACTCCTTGACCAAGCACAATGTCCTTCTCCAAGGACTGGTACCTCCTGATCACTTGGCCAAAGTAGGTGGACAAGTGTTTGGCCATCCTTTCTCCTAAGGAGCATTCTGGCTGCACTTCTTCCAAGACAGACTGGCTCTTTCTCCTGGCAGTCCACGGTACATTCACCACTTTGCGCCAACAGTCCAAAGCCAGCAACTCTTTTTCTGTTTTCAGTATTCACTGCCCAGAAAGCCCTACGGAGCAGTTCTGTCCTGTCCTATAGGGTCGTTGTGAGTTGGAAATGACTTCACAGTCATGGGTCTTTCCTTTGGGGGTGCACGACTGTAGTTGAGCAGCCCAGCTTCCATCCCTGCTCAGAGACCCAGGGACTCAGCTCTTCATGACTCCTTGGGGACCCAGGGACCTAGCCCTCCAGGGCTCAGCCCACCTCCTCCACGCCGGGGTGGGGAGGCTGGGGTAGTCTCACGTACACAGGACTGTTTCCCTGTGAGCACACTGGGAACCCCGGGCTTTTCTGCCCCATAAAGGGAACTCAGTCCTGGTTTCCCGGACCCCTCCCAGGTCCCTGCTGTCACTGGTTGGGGTGTTACCTGGCTGTGGGGCTGTGACCAAGTCACCTGGCCCAAGTTATGACTGTGTGTGAGCATAAGTTAGCAGGCCAGCGGAGGGAGTGGAGAGGCAGCCCAGTGGACCCCTGTCCATACAGGCCTTTTATGGCTGAGTCCCTGGCCAGTCCCAGCCCTGACCCCTGGGTACCAGGCACGGCTCCCAGCCTCCTGTTCCCTGGGAACCAGGCTTCCTTTGCAACTGACGCCAGCTCGGTGAACCAGGGTTTGTACTTGGAAAACCCCAGGCTGGGCTCCGACAGGCAGGCTTTGCTCCAGCCTCTTACCCAATCCCCTAAAGAATGACCCCTTTAAACCTCAGCTGCACCTCCCCACACCCCCACAGTGTGAGCTGGGCACCGTGCCTCTCACCCTGGCCAGCGGGGCTGAGAAGGGCCCACCAGGTTGCACTATAGTGTCTGCCCAGGTAAACAGCCCTCCACACCTGTCCTTAGAGCAGGGGGGCCCCCTGGTGGCCGGCAGGGGCATGTGGCACGGCAGGACCACCCTGCCGGCTGCTACAGCCACCAGGATCCGGTCTCCCACCCGTCTCCAGCTGAGGGCACCACCCACACACAAGGACGCTGAGGCCGGGCCGTGACGCTGTCCAGGGCCTGGCGCTGTGAGCCCGTTTATTGTGCTGCTCGGCCACTCGTGGGCAAAGCAGGCCCCCAGAGGCCCGCTCCTGGCCCCGGAGGTCATGTCATCCCTGGGTTGACGGTCAGCCGGGGCGCTCTGCACCCTCAGTAGCCGGCAGGCTCCCCGCCCTTCCGTGAGTCCGAGGCAGCAGCCCAGCCGCTGGCCGTGCGGACAATGGCCTGCACCACTGCGATGAAGGTGCGAGAGAACTCGGTGTGATGGTGCCTTGTCCGCAGGGCTGCACTCACCGCCTGGTGGGGAGAGGGGAGAGGTGGCCTCAGCGGACCTGGGCGTCCCAGCCCCGCCGTCCCGGGCCACGTCTGCAGGGCTGGCCCGCACTGCCACGGGCTGCAGATGCGGGCCTAGGGGGCGCCCTGGCGGAGGACCCAGCCTGAGTGCCCGCCCCTGGCTGCTCCGGGGACGCGCTCACTTGGTCCATGCTTCTCTCCAGCGTCGTCGTGTTGGGCAGCAGCTGGTTGTGGAGCCGCGGTTCCTCCACGGCCCGCTTCACGTCATAGCCGAACCACAGGCTGTGGATGATGGCCTGGGGGACGGGCAGGCGGTCAGCGGGGCCCGGCGCCGAGGGGTAGGCAGGGAGGGGCTGCACGTACCAGCGCGGTGGCGGTGGTGATCTGCGTACCGCCGGAGGCGCCCACCACCATGCGGACCTGGTGGTCGCGGCCCACGATGATGGCCGGGCACATGGACGAGAGCGGCTGCTTCCCTGGGGCGGCAGGAGGGGCGGGGCCGGGTTAGCGGGGCTACAGGGCTGCAGTACGCACGGCACCCCAAACCTCTTTTCCATACCTGGCTGGATGAAGTTGGCTGGTGAGGGGGGCACCCCAAACTGATTGGTGATGTCAGGCGAGCTGAAGTCGTCCATCTCGTCGTTGAATACGATGCCGCTGGCCGTAGAGCGCACCTTGGAGCCGAAGCTTCATAGCCAAAGCATCAGAGC